TTAGGCACCAAAATTGACACGCCCATGTGTGTCACCATAGAGTCATCATCCAAGGAAAAAAGAAAAACAACACGGGCGAGAAAATGAAGGACACGGGGATAAAGGGTAAATATGTTAAGATCGTGTATAAATAAAGAGTTATCATCTAAAAAAGCAAGCCACACTGGCGAAGTAAATGACACGGGATGAAAAGTAAATATGATACGGTCATACACGACAATCAAGCAAACCATGTGAAGCAACCGGAGGTGATAAAACCCTAATTTTTGCATGCGATGTAAGGCTATAAATAGAGAAGTTAGGGTGTACACTAGTTGATTGATATATATAACTTGAAGCAAGGACATGGATTAGAATATAACCTATGCTCTATAGTTATCCTAGACTCTAAAATCTATGCTCCGATACTAAATTTGTCATGACTCTCAAAGTGAGCCACGATTGGCATGAGAATCAAGAAAACTATGAGGCTCACCTCAACTCAAGTAAGTCTCAAATATCTAAACTATAACCCTTAAGCCTTTAACACGTCAAACATCATTTCAATTTACAATATCACAACCTAATAACTATAACTTTCTAACTCCAACACAAATGATAATTCTATAGTATTTTTGTATTTCTCAAAATAATATCCATAATCAATTTCTAATACAACTACCACAAGATATAACTATAAAGCTTCTAAAAGATACAATAAAATCAAACTCAAGTTCCAAGAGATTACAAGTAAGCGAGTTACATGATCAATGTGCCAACTACATGACAAACGACTTGTAGAAATGAAAAGGGCAATCTCATAAACTTTGTAAAACTGAAATGATGGAGTGTGAGCAAATCAATAGCTTAGTGTTCTAACTATATGACAAACGCGCAATGCTTGAAAGGGCTTTTGGCTTGTCTTACACGCCGGCCGCAAGCTCGGCCTATCACGCACCTAACATGTGAATGCTTGGTCCGTCGCACATCTAGCGCACTACTACATGGCTAGCGAGGCTTGGCTTGCCATACGCCCGGCACGCGATCGGCCGGCCTTATTCGTGCGCACGAGCGCCAATGTCCAACATCAACCGCACATGCCTTCACTCAATTTAAACCCAAATTTCAGTTTTAAATACATATAAAATACCAAAAAATGTAAGATTTATAATCGATGATAGATAATTCATATAGTTAATCATAATTAACAAAACATAAAATCAAAGATTCAATAGAGGCTCGATACCAATTGAATGATCATGCATCCTATAGAGGTGCGAGAATAAAACAAAAATTTTCTCCATCTAAAAGAGCCCAAGATCATGCTATTGAATTAACTAACCATATGTTCATAAATTAAAGCTCTAAATAAAGAATTACCTCTTATGATACAAATTTAAACCTTTGCGAGAAAAGATTCGTTCAAGTGTTCGGCCTCTATCGATAATCTATACGGTCCAAACACCCATAAAAGAAGCCTCAAAATTGATAGAGTGTTAGCTTCACTTTTTCTAACCTTTTTTAGTGTTTTCTTTTAGAAATCAAATTAGGAAAACTTTACGACAACCTAAGGGAGAGAGGAAAGTGGAGTGTGTTAGGGGTTTAGGAGAAAACTATTTTCTCCTTTTTATTTTCTTGATGTTTTTTTTTTTTTTTGCCATTCTCTCTCTTCTAAAAACCTTAAATGTTTCTCGTACCTCTCTCCCATATATATATATATATGGGAAAGGCTTCCTTGTCCTCCAAGAAAAGGAAGAGAGGTAACTAGTCCTAATTGGACTCTTGGTTGTTACTTCCTAATCATTTAAGAATAAGGAGTCATTTTACATGTGAGCTTTTTGATCTTTATCTTTAAAACATTCATCCTTATCCAATAAGATTCATGTTCATCCTCTCATCAAAATATCTTTCAAGTTTTTAAGTAAACCTATTGGCTCAAAATTATTTTGGTCTAATTAGTAATTTGGACTATCCAAATAAATTAACTTAGATAATTTTAGGAGGCCCACATTAGAAAACAATTTTCTAAAATACCCTTAAACTTAAATTAGAAAACTAATTTTTATTTTAGGTTATTTACTTCTAAATTTGGAACTAACTTCCAAATTAGGAAACTTATTTCTAAAATAGAAAACTTTCTATTTTAGAAAACTTTCATTTTAGGAAACTTTTCATTTTCGAAACCTTTTCCAAAATAGGAAACTTTCAAAGTTGGGAACTTTTTTCAATATCTTTGTTTCTCTTTAATCATGTGAATGCTTAAACTTATTCATGTGACTCAATAGGTTTCTAGATATGTTGGTAATGTATCAAGAGTAAAAGATCATTTTTTTTATCTCTTGATACATATGTCAAAATTGGCTTTTGGTCATCATGACTACCCAATTCTCTAGGAGGATTAATTAATCCGTAATTACCTTTCACGAGCATGATTATCATACAATTTAGTCCACATGTCAACTTATCACGGTGTGATCTTGAACTTGGTTATTAGTAGTGTTTGACCACGATAACACAAGTTTTCTTCGATTTTCAAATCTCTTAACTCTTAGAGTAAACCAACTATGCTTTATTGATGTACTCCTACCGTGATCATAAATTTCTTCGGTAGATATTCATCAAATTGCAATGTGATAACTCCTTTAGCATAGAAGGAATGACATGTCCTATCTTAGTCATCTACCTACCTCCATTGGATTCCTAATGCACCCAACAAATCACTTATATGTAACCCTTTATTGGGTCCATCGAAACAAATATCAACGTATATAAATCCTTCAATAAAATAAACGTGATGGCTTCAAGTCTAAGGACTAATTGTGTCCATCTCGTATGAGATTTCATAGATTAAACCAAATGGGTTCTCATAGTGAGTCAAATCCGGTGATATGTTCTCTAACATAAATCACATAAATGCTTGCTTTGACATCATCCTACTAATAGATGTGAGATCTCTTACTGCTATCATATAACATGAGCATAGCATTTATAAGTCTCATCGTATCTTATCAATGTCTATTCTTGACAATGCTACGACTTGGGATATTTAATGATATCATTTATATGTCTTAGTGTTTGTCTCACATCTTTCGATCAACCACCAATGCAAATACATATCATAAAGACTTCTATCTAATTCTCCCGAATAAATAAACATAAAACATAAGTATTAATAGAAAGACTTCTTTAAAATAAATGATGTAATAATATAATAACTCAAACCGATCCAAATATGATTGGATATTGAGCACCTACATTAATATCAATTTCTTTTGAGCTTTATAAATTAACATTTTATAAAATAGTTTTTTTCTCTATCATAAATTTGATTCTCATCGTCACAATCTTCATCTTGAGAATTATTTGGATAAAGAGTTCCAAGAGGTAACATTTCTTGGAATAACTCTTTTCCTCCGTATAAACCTTGATAATTTGGTGTCATATTAGAACATGATAGGCAATTTCACTATGATTGCCAAAAGCTATTATAAAGAAATTTGAATGACGCTCTCATTATTATAGCTAAAAGTTGTCTGCGATCATTTTGGCTAAAAGATATTGTGAGAAATCTAAATTGACACTCCCACTATAGTCATAAAAATTATGTTGGGTTCTTTTGTATCCGCCTTGATTCTTAAAGACTTCGTAACAAAAGAGCGAAAAGAATTGGTTGGATAGTGTTCTACAAGGTAACCTAATCGCTCAACTCTATCATATTCACTACCGAATATGCTCTACTATTTACTTTAATGATAGTTTTTGTGTTTTTTCTCTTGATAAACCAAAATTAAACCAATTAAAAAGAACTTGCAAACCCCAAAAAAAATCGCAACCCGCCCCAACTAGCCGATGTAAATTACAAGGCTAATTACTCACAATAAAGAACACTTTAAGCCGACAATTTATATGTTCCAAGTCTTATTGCAATTAAAATCTATGTTTACACTATTAATTCTAAAATTGAATGAAAGTAAGATTGCAAACTTTAATAACAATCAAGACTAAAAAAGAAAACTTACTTTCATTGATGAAAAAATGCTGCTTACAAACAAATATTCTTTTTTAAGACAAGATGTTCGCATAGAAATTCAATATTTGAGGGGTACATGCACGGATTTTATTACAAAGTGAGAACTAAGTGATCAATATGCCAGCCTACAATGTTACTATCTATTTTGATTACTGCCTACTTGCGTCTGTTTACAAATTATAGTATAACAAGTTTCAAGTATATTTAAACTTGAGACAGTGCTCTAATAAGTGTTTGCAATTTGTAAATTCAGTTATTGTTGTGTTGATGAGTGTTTTTAGCTTATGTTAATAGTCCTTCGCAATTCACGTTTCTTGTAATACTTCATGTTGTCTTGTAAATGTCACATGGTGCTCCACCAATGTTAACTTCTGGTTATTAGAAAAGTTATTCTATGGGCTTATCTTATCTAAATATCACAACTTCAAGAATCTAAAATCCATTAACTTCTCATCCAAAAAATATTAATTCCTCAATTACCCAGCATGTCTCTTTTAGATAATCCAATTTATTAGGCTTGCCGGTCTCCATTAAATTTTGGGTATTAACCGGTTGTCTTTGATATCTAGCCCTTGCTTTTCTCATCGCTACAAAAAACTTCGCGAATCTAAGTTGCCGATGAATTCTCTACTTTTGCAGCACCACAATGAGCAAGATATGAACAGACTTTGCGTGATGGAAATAGCACCTAAGGAACTATCATTCAAACCCCTCGAGCTTTCTTTCAGTTTTCTTCCCAAGCCACGAGAATCATGAAAGCATATTATCGGTAGGATCTTCCAATGGTTTAGTTTTATGCTTTGAAACTTACAAAGATTCTATTGGGCTCAATCTTTACTATGTAATCCATTGACTGCACAATGGGTTTTGCTTCCCCCACCTCGGCAACACGAAGATTAGCCTTCTCGAATTGGCTTTATATGCAATACAATCAATGCCCAAGGATTTTTAAGCATTACTCAATTTAAGGTAGTCCTAATCGAAACCTCATATGTTGATCATGTTGCTGCTCTATTCCATTCAAAGATCTTCTCTTCTGCTAGTGATGATCATAACTGGAGCGTTTCACTATGCCGTTGTCCGAAAAGTGAGAAGTCAAGCGGAGTAGCATCATGATGTGGTTGTTTGCAACGGGACGCTTTACCGGTGTGGGAGAAATAATGTCGTCACATATGCATGATCCATACAATATGCCTTAAAATTGCAGCATTGTCAATCTTCACAGCGAGGTATATAGAGATGCGGCCATTAGAGTAAGCCAAGGCCACATCTTTTCATGTCATCAGATGCTTCGTCTTTCCCTGAGTTTCCATGTCTGGGAAGTAGAGGACCATAGCACCCCTAATTGGTGCTTGAAGCACAGACTTGTCCTCTCTCGTCTCTGGCTCTGGCTGACCATCGAGGCTTTTAGTGCAATTGATGAAGACATTGCATATTTATGGTACCGAAAGCGTGTTTTGTCATGGAACATCAAGGGTAGAAGGCTTGAAGTTGTCTTGCTTAATTCCTAGTAAGATCACAAATGAGTCTTACATGAGCTACAGAACCCTCCCATTCGTCCTCCCTTGGTGGCCGACCTCCTCCATTCCTGAAATTACCAAGAGCCCCCAGCAGTAGTAATTTAATTTCTCATCAATCATCTTTTACTTAATTCATTTCTTGTTCAATTACACCACCTATCGTGTTGATTGTTGACTGTTTGCCTCTTATTATTTTATCTGGCATCCATGCTTATATATAAATATCGTCTACATGGAATTACAACAAACACAAACTCAAGTCATGCTTTAATGCATGGATGGATGGATGGATGGATACAGCAACAAGGGCCGGTTACTATCAATGGTATGCAATTTTAATTTTTAAAAGTTTGCAAACGTTTTTCAAAGTCTTCAACTAACCTACAGACCACCTTCCACTAACAGAAGACTGAAAGTCTACAGTGATAAAAAGCTCTGCTTCATGGCTGCAGTCTTTTAAAACCAAAAGACTGCAGGGTGGACTAACTCCTTTTCTATCACAATCCACGACCCCCACTGCATTGATCGAAAATTTAAAAAAAAAATAATCATCCCTGTGCCTCCAAAGTTTTCTTTTTTCTGATTCAAAAAGAAAAAAAAACACACACGCAAAATAATAATAATTTACAAGGAGATTCTTACTCGCAGGAAAGCTGATGTATAATTGGCTAATGCTTCCCAAAAAAATTGCTTTTGAAATAAAATTTTGCACAAACATTTTCTCCCAAAAATAAAACTTACAGATTGTCGTTAATTGCTCCGGTCATATATTGAGTTGAAGGTCATGGTAGCATATGAAGTGCCCATTCCTGATGATGAAGATGAATTTTCGAGCTTGCCTGAATATGAAGATGAATTCTTTGTTTCCCATTGGTTATTCTGCTCTTTGTCTCCTTTGTGTTTCTGCTTTCTGTCACCTTTGGAACTACTGAATTCAGACAGCAAGCCAGGCCGTGATATCTTGTCGTTTACATCTATCTCCCCCATTAACATCATGACAACAGTAGACATGAAGGGACGCAACTTTGGCATGTCTTGGGTGCAAAGAAGACCAATCTTCACGTACTTGCAAGCTTCTTCAACATCATAATCCCCACCCAACGATGGGTCCACCAAATTAACCAGCTCCCGCTTCTCGTAAAATTCCCATACCTGCAGATTGCACCTTCGCTTAACAAGATCTCTATGTGACCAAATTCAAAGGACGACTACTTCAAAAGCCCACTAAAACTTGATTGGATATATTAAATGGAACAAGATTGTTGCACAATTTCGTAAGCTATTAATTAACTGAAATGTTAGCTAAATAAGAGCTGACTGCTCTTTTTTAACCTAGAAGTAACTGGCCAACTGCTTTAGGAAGCATACATCTATAGAGGATCTAACAATCAATTCCAAAACCCATTTAGCTCCAACTGAAATAAGGAATCGAGAACAAAGGATTATGAAACTAGAGCAGGACAGAAAATGAAGGAATGATGCTTCATAAGAACTAGTGATTGTATACTGACTCCATAAAATAACAAAGAGCTCAAAGGTCAAGAGGCAGAATTATAGATCGAACATGGAGTGATGTTTCTAGTTTGACATGGGTAATTGATCCACCCAACATAGAACAAAAATGAGCAATTATTCTAGAGGTTTTGATGGCTGATACTTAAAAGTGATCTGCAAAGATCAGTTGCAGTGTTATTCTACAGAATAATGCAAAAGAAATGACATCAGAGCAGCCATTTCGCAACACGAAGTTCAACACAAGCAACGTTTGTCCCATTGAAAAAAGAATAGGCTACCTAATTAAACTGAAAGCTGCAGTCGTCTTCTAAGCCTGTGGATTCAATCTTACAAGGAAATTATAGAACATTACCAATTTAATTCACATCACACCTCAAGAAAGCCTAGATGAAACGCCATGGAAGAAAAAATCATAGTCATATGCATAAAATAAGAGCACTCTAAGACTCAATACCATTTGAAAATGGAGATTTATTGCATAATATGAACTGAAAGGAAAATGGAAATCAAACGTAGCCAATCGCAACTAGTTTGGAAATAAGGCCTGGCTGATTTGAAATTTATACCCAAAATATCAGAGACACAAATGCGGCCTACTAAGAATTGTCACTTCAGGAAAGTACAGCATTACTAAAATAAATGTTAGATGCAGGAATCAATAACCCAGTTTACGAGTACTCATGTTTTTCATACTCAGATTGGAGCACTTTAACCAGTATTTACTTAATAATGATTAACTATCAAGGAAAGAATCTCTGCTCTTAGTTAAAGAGAGTTATCTTTAATACTCTAATTAAAACAGCACCTATAGATTATCTTTAATAGCACAGAAGACAGCATTGCTGTAAGTTCAAAAGGTTCATACCCTTTCAAGTAGGTATTGCTCTTTGGGGGGTAACCGCCTATTTGTGTTGGACCTCCCACTAACAATTTCCAACAGTAGAACACCAAAACTGTAAATATCAGCTTTCCTTGTCAACTGACCTCGAATTGCATATTCTGGCGCCAAATATCCTCTGCACATGTGCAGCAAGAACAGCAAATTGTTCTAATGTGTCAACACTACGATTTGGTCAAATATGCAGAAAGAAAATCCAATTTATCTATGCCTATCAAACATTATGCCATATCGTCAAAATCTCATATTTTCACTTTCTAATAAGCATAATGCATATTTTTGGCAGGCTCCACGGTATCTTTTAAGTCACAATTTAATTTCTGCATATGAATTATTCTAATAAATCAGAATTCATCAAAAAGCAAGCATGATAACAGTGTGCACTGTGCACCCAGCTTATGAAAGAAGGTATGCACCAATGTTAAATGATCCTACCAACCTCAGAGATATAACATGGAAAATATATGAGATGAGATGCAATGTCTTACATGGTTAAGGTACTAAAGGTACTAGATAGGAACATCATTCAATCAAGCCAACCTATCCAGAACACTAAGCAGTAATTAGGCTAAACACTAGTAAAACAAACTGCAAGAGATCATAACAATCAATAGAAGCTACATTTTATTTTACAATGCGTTGAACAACAATACCTGAGAGAAGAAAGTATAACAGAGTTTATGAACTTACGCAGTTCCAGCTACACGTGTGCTAATATGAGTCAGGTGGGATGGAAAAAGCTTTGCAAGACCAAAGTCTGAAATTTTGGGCTCGAGTTCATTATCAAGGAGAATATTACTTGCTTTAATATCCCTATGAACAACATGTGGTTGGACTTCCTCATGAAGGAATGCAAGCCCTCGTGCAACTCCAATGCATATTTTGCGCCTTGTAGGCCAACTGAATTGTATATTGCTGTGGCCTCTACCTAAAAGGTAAAGGAAAACTATAACCTGAGCTATTTGCAAACAAAGGTTATGAATGAATGAATGGTGGCCTTACCTAGAAGTGTTTGTGTAAGGCTGTTATTCTCAAGATAGCCATAGACCAAAATTCTATGGTTTCCATCGGCACAATAACCATACAATTTAACCAGGTTATTGTGATCTGTATCTGCAATCACTTTTATTTCTGTCAAGAACTCCCGTAAACCTTGCCTTGATTCAGCCGACAGTACCTTTATTGCAACCGCAGTACCATCTTTAAGTATTCCCTGTACATTAAATCACTGGATTGAGACAAATGAGAAGTTTAATAGTAACATATTAAAACCCTCAGAATCCTTCAAAAGTTTTTCAAAAAGCCATAAGCATGTAAAATCACCTTGTAGACAGAGCCAAAACCTCCCTCTCCAACTTTATTGGCTGGATTAAAGTTGTCAGTTGCCATTCGCAATTCCCTGTAAGTGTAAGAGCAAGTGTTCTGTACCCTTGAAACATCTGTACCATATAAATCCACCATAAGCTTTTTCATGCCAGTAAAACACATAGGAGAAAAAAACTTAATATGAGCATTGAGTTATGTTTGTGAGAGAGTGTGCCCATTTTGCCTGAGAAGAAAACGAGAGAAAAAAGAAGAAAAAGAACGGAAAGCAAGTCTGAGAATCATGCTGTGGGTAGCTTATGTGACTTCTGCTATTTCATCTCAGAAACGTTTGCTCGTATCAGTAGGTCTGAGAGAAGATGATTCAGAAAATCTCAGACCAAAATAATAAATGGAAGAGTGCAGCTAATAGATATTTATTCCTTAACAGAGACAACAATAAGTCTATTCAGTTGCATACCATCATCAACTTCTATAGTTTGTCTAGCTCTGGAAACTCCTTTCCTTTTGCAAAAGGAAGAAAAACAACTCATCACCAGATTCTTTAGACAATCACAACTTTGATAATTACTTCCTGACACTTTGAAAAGGAAAAGGTATAGAGTCATTTGTCAGTCAAATGATGATGGCAACAATAATCATATAACAAAGTTTCTTTTTTCTTTTTCCCCTTTTAATCAATATGTTAGGCACATGCATATGGATAGTGTAAAAGAAGATTCAGCACAGCTATTCGTACTTATGGGAAGAAAACAATAAAATATGAAATACATGCCATTTGCCATTGAAACAAGAGCCGTTACCTAAAGAACTAAAATATGAGTGCCCAGGTACTTGTGAAGCGAATTACAAGAGCTAACTATTGAACTGGAACAAGGATTTGAGGAAGGAATTTCAAGATTCAAAAATGTTAGTAAAAGATATTCTAATGCTCTTTTGATTGTTGGCAGCCAAATTTTCTATGAAGATTCTAGTCACAGTTAGACGCCGGTAAGAATATCCTTTTGTGAATGTGAAAACCAAAATACTCTTCAAGTAACTTTCGGAGTAATATTCTGCAGGTGTTAAATTGGACCAAATAAAGTAGTTAGCAAACAAATAACTGAACCCAGAAAACCAAACAAGTTATCTGGCCGATTCCAATTCCTAAAAGCATCCAAATGAGCACAATATCTCAATAACTTGACAGTCTTTTAAGAATGCTTTAAGAAAGATACTTTGAGAAACTTTTTTTGTTATGAATTAAAGAAAACCT